TGTAACAGCCAGGGGTGGGATTCAATTTTTTTAACAACCAGTTCTGTGGGCGTGGCTAAGTTGGTTGGCATGGCTTGGTGGTCATGTTATTGGCTGGGCATGGCCAACTCAATATCACTCACATTGAGGCACGCATCTCCTCACCTGGCCTCTCATGACTGTGGGGATGCTACAACAGTCGTAAGTGTAAAAAATGGTCATAAGTCACTATTTTCAGTGTCATTGTAACTTTGAATGGTCACCCCACACAAGCAAAGTACCAGCAAAGGAGGGAAAAATAACTCCAGAGAAGTTCCAGAGACAGGAAGTCTAGTCCTGCCAAGAATATAATAATGGTTAACAGAGAGGCATTTCTGTAAGCAACACCAAAATGTTTCCTTCCTGCCTTTCTTACAGGATTAGGCCAATAATTTCTTCTAACAACTGGTTCTCGGAATTGCTTAGAACGTTAACAACTGGTTCCAGCGAATAGGTGCGAACTGGTAGAATCCCACCCCTGGTAACAGCTGCCTGTAAATCCACATTTCAAATGCTTCTAGTCACTTGAAGTGACTTTCTGTCAGAGACCAACTCTCATAGAGCAGGGTAGAAAATATGTAACATCTGACAAGCCTGATTTTCAATCTTAGGCTTATGTTGTGAGTGCAGAAGACCTTTTTCATTTTGAAGAATGTGGTTCGAGCTTTCTCTATCCTTGTTTTTACTTTGGTGGTCATGTTCCAGCTTTTATGTAAATTAGAACCAAGGTACATGATCCTTTATTTTTTTTCTAGTGGTATTCCTTCCGAAGTTATCGGTGGTAAATTAATGGGTTGTTTGCTGATGATGACCATGATCTTGGTTTTTGAGGTGTTAAGCTTCAAGCCGTATTTTTCAGATATTTCTGTGACTGTTGATGAGGAACTGCTTACTGGCAAGCAGAACTCTTTCATCTGCATATCTTAAATTGTTGATTCAAACACCATTTACTTTAAGGGCAGCATTTAAGTTTTCAAGTGCTTTGTTGAAAATTGATTCTGAGTAGATATTAAACAACAGCAGAGACAGAATAGAGCCCTGTCTCACCCTTCTTCATATTTCTGCATTATCTGAGTATTTTTGGCCTAGTCTCATATTTGCTACCTGTTGCCAATATAGTTTTTTTATTATTTTGATGTCTTTGTCACCAATCCCACTTGTTTCAGGATTTGTAATAATTTGTTGCATCATATTTTATCAAATGCTTTTCCAAAATCAATGAAGCACAGGTAAACACTGTGACTGACTGTCAGATCCATGTATCTGTCATTTTTTCAATGGAAGAAGAAAGGGGGGAGAACTGATAAAGAAATCCTTTTTGATGTAACCTGAATATTCTAGTTGATTGAATGGGAAAAGTACTGTAGCCTGACATAAAGCAGAATCTGCAATAGAGGTCATCCTGGAGAGGAATTTTTTTTATAAAAACCTTCACTCTACCAAGGGGACCCTGCAAAAAAAAAAAAAAAAGGAAAGTGTCTGAATACAGCAAGGACCAAAGGGAAGCCGAATGCTGGGGAGAAACGTCGACAGTTACCCAGCCAGACACTGACTCGGTCCACCCCATCGAAGATAGCAAAGCTGCCTACGAAACCTCCACAAAGCCCCAGTGGTCTATAGGCATAGGAAAGAGAGACAGCTGGGACAGAAGAACCAGGGGAGTAACCCTCACCCATGGTAATCATAAACCTGGGTGGAAATTGGAGCTGGAGGCCCTATCGGATCAGGAAGAATGGGGCAAGGAACCACTGGCTGACGACCAACTGAGATGGTACATAAATCACCTCGTGAGGGAAGCCCTGGAGAACCTCGAGGTGAGGGGTGCACCAGGACGCCAATGCAGGAGAGCGAGGGAACCAGAAAATGAGAGAATCCAAGCTGCCACCCCGGATCCAGCTGAGAATAATTGGGCAGTGGGATAAGCTGAAGAACCAGCAGCCATACCAGGTACCCCACTCTTAAATGCCCCAGTACAGGGGATTAACCCTGGCCAACCCAGAGACATACAACTGCAGAGGAAGGTCCCACCCCTGGGAGTAAAATTCGATGGGGACTCCAAGAAACTGGGATTTTACCTGGTGCAAGTACATGCAAGAACACGGGTGAAATTTCCCAACACAGGGGTCTCAAGTACCAGCTGTCACCCTGGCCCTTGAAGGGGCAGCAGCCAGATGGATGGTGATGCTCCACAATGTCAACGCCCCAGAATTAAGGAACCTCAACCACTTCATGATGGCCCTACGATGCTTCGAAGACCCCCTCGCTGATAGAAAAGCCCGTGACCACATCAGAGTCGTAAAGCAAGGCCATTGCCCAGTAGCTGAATACACTGAGGAATTTCGTGACCTGGCCAACCAAGTCGACTGGCCAGAGGATATCCTAGTCTATTGGTTCAATGATGGACTCAATGATGACCCATATCCTGCCTGCCTGGCCCGTGAGGCCCCAAACCTTCTGCATGAATGGTACATGATGGCAGAGGAGGCAGAGATAGACATGACTCATAACCAGTATCACAGTGGCAAGTTTTGGAAAAGATCCCCACCGCAGGGTAATGGGAAATTTTCAAACCCCCAACCACCATGACTCCAAGAACGTCTGGTTGCTTTAAGTGTGGAAAGGAGGGACACCACACAGCAGAATGCCATTCGAAAACCCCTGCCAGAAAGCCAGATCACCCATTGGGGGGAAACCTGGAACATCCAGCCCTCGAGGAAAGGAAACTGGCCTGAGAAGCCGAGTAGCTGTGGGATTCTGATCCCCACCTAATCCAGAGGAAGAATCCCCAATGCTCCGAAGGGACCTGAGCCAGTCCAAAAGCGATCCGGAAGATGACCCACTGGTAAGCAACCCAATTGAACCAATCACTTTACCCCTGAGACTGTTTATCCCCAGCCGAGGGAAGGGGGAGGAAGTTGCAGCGTTGCTGGATTCGGGATGCACCCGAAGCCTAATCAACCCCTCCCTTGCTGAGAAATTGGGAATCCAACTGGAAGAAATAGAAAATCCCATCGCTTTCTGCCAATTAGATGGAACTATAGGGGTGGGGGGAGCCAGCTAGGTTTACCACAGAACCATTGAAAATAAGACTAGGGAACTATAGGGAGATGCTCACATTCATTGTAGCCCCAGGAATGGAAGAGCCGCAAGTCCTAGGTCTCATATGGCTGCGGAAATGGAATCCCAAAATAAATTGGAGCAAAGGAACTGTACAATTCCAGAAAGATGTATTATTTGCAAATAGCTCAGAGGAAAGGATAAAGAAAGGAACAGAGAACAGAGAGTCAGCCATGACTGGACAGTCAGCTGAACCCATTAACATCCCCAACGTGCACCAGGATCTAGACCAAGCATTTAGCGAGGAAGCTTGTGATGAACTCTCACCACATTGATCCACAGACTGCACTATCAAAATCCTACCAGGGGTTAAACTCCCAAAACCACAAATGTACTGCATGTCTCCCAGAGAACTAAAAGAACTCAGAGCATTTATCGATAAAAATCAAGAAAGGGGTTTCATCGAACCCACCCGACCAAAAATAGCTGTCCCAGTATTATTCTGTGAAAAGAAAGACGGCTCTGTGCATCTGTGTGTGAATTACAAAAAATTAAACGCAATTAGCACAGAGAATATGTATCCACTCCCCCTCATGAAGGACATGTTAGCCCACCTCTCGAAAGGAAATTTTTTTTCAAAGTTAGACCTATGAGAGGCATATTACCACATCAGAATAAAGGAAGGGGATGAGTGGAAGACAGTTTTTAACACCCCATTGGGATACTACCAATTTAAAGTGCTCCCTTTTGGACTCAAGGAGCGCCTGCCGTGTTTATGCAATTGATCAATGAGACCCTTCATGAATTTTTATATGAAGGGGTTCTGGTTTATCTTGATGATTAATATACAGGGAAACGATGGAAGAACACATCAAACTACTCCATGCAGTCCTCACAAAACTCTTAGATGCTAACTAAACTATATGCAAAACTCTCTAAATGCGAATTCCACCAAGAAAAAAAAAAGACTACTTGGGGTATAGAATATCCCACGAGGGAATACAGATGGATCCACAGAAAGTAAAAGCTGTTATCGATTGGGAACCACCTCATACCCGCAAGCAACTGCAAAGCTTCCTGGGGTTTGTGAACTTTTATCGCTAGTTCATTCCAGCTTTTGCAAACATTGCCCTCCCCATCACAAACTTGCTAAAAATGAAGGCGGGGAAAAAAAACCCAAACCAAGGCAACCCCTTATCTGGACAATGGAATGCCAAGAGGCATTCAAAAAAGTCAAATGTCTATTCTCAGCAGAACTGGTCCTTAAGCACCCAGATCCCAAAGAACCTTTTGTCATCCAAGCAGACGCTAGTGATGTTGCAGTTGGAGCAGTCCTCCTTCAAAAGAATGGAAATGGACAATTACAACCATGCACTTATACATCTAAGAAATGCATGGAAACCGAGCAAGGATGGGCCATATGGGAGAAAGAGGCATATGCTGTGCGATGGGCACTCCTCACATGGAGACATTTCCTGGAAGGAAACCAAACCCCCTTTGAAGTATGGACTGATCATAAAAACCTGGAAGCCTTGAGAAATCCACAGAAACTCTCTGAAAAACAAGCAAGGTAGGCTCAATATTTTAAACGGTTTAATTTCACTCTCAAATATTTTCCTGGGAGAAAGAACTTCTTAGCAGATGCACTGTCCAGAGAACCCCAATACAACAGCAAAAAGATTGAAGTTATAAAACCAATGATCCAACCGACCCAATTAGCAGTCAAAGTAATCACCCGGGCACAATAGAAAAAAAAATCATCCCTGACTGAAGACACAATGACGTCAATATTTAAGGAGGCACTACTTAAGGACTGGCTCCAGGCTAACAAAAACACTTGATTACTCAAAGATGGACTGGCTTGGGTAGAAAACAAACTTTATGTCCCTGCAAGCCAGAGGATGGACCTCATGAAACGCTGCCACAACTCAAAAATAGCGGGACACTTTGGGTTTGTAAAAACCTTGCACCTCATCAAAAGACAATTTTGGTGGCCGTCTCTCAAAAAGGACATTGAAAACTATGTTGCAAGCTACCCCACCTGTGCTGCTGCAAAGAGAAGTCAAGGAAAATCACCTGGTCTTTTACAGACAGGAGCAGACCCTTCTGCACTCTGGAAAGAGATTTCTATGGACTTTATAGTGGAACTCCCTGAAAGTGCTGGAAATACTGTCATTTGGGTTGTAACTGATCTTTTTTCCAAACAGGTTCACGTTATTCCATGCCAAAAGATCCCAACTGCCAAGGCCTTGGCAAAGATGTTTCTAATACACATTTATCACCTTCATGGAGCTTCCCAATGGATTATCTCAGATAGGGGTGTCCAGTTCACATCCACATTTTGGCAAGCATTTTTAAATCTATTAGGCTCCACCCAAGGGTTGTCATCATCAAATCACCCCCAGACGGACAGATCGACAGAGAGAGTTAACAGCGTATTAGAAAAATATTGAAGATGCTTTATTAATTACCAACAGGACAATTGGATTGACCTTCTTCCTTTTGCAGAGGTAGCATACAATAACTCGGTCCACAGCAACATAGGTTTCAACCCATTCCAGGTAGCCACAGGCCAAGAATTCAAACCCATGCCGGAACTACCCATCAAAGAACCTGGAATCCCCTCCCTTAAGGAGTGGATTAATAACTTACAAGCCATGTGGCCAGTGGTAAGATTATCTTTACAGGAAGCTAGAGCAGTTTTTAAAGCTCAAGTGGACAAAAAACGCTGCGATCCTAAACCTTTCAAGATTGGGGACTGTGTATATTTGTCCACAAATTTCTTAAAATCATTACAACCCTCAAAGAAACTGGGCCAAAATTCATTGGACCATTCCCCATCTCCAGAATTATTAGCCCCGTGACAGTAGAGCTTCCACTTCCCCAAACACTTAGGCAGATTCATCCAGTATTTCACTGTAGCTTGCTCAAACCAGAGATCACTTCAAACCTCAGACCACCCCCCCACACTTCCCACACCTCCAACTCCCATCATGGTACATGGGGAACAACATTTTGAAATTAAAGATATTCTTGATCTGTGCACTCACCGTGGATCCACACAATATTTAGTAGCTTGGAAATACCTTCCTTCCTCGGAAAATGAGTGGGTAGCCAAATGTCACGTTAAAGCACCCACATTACTTCAAAAGTTCCATCTAAAATATCCTGATAAACCATCCTGAATTGCAAATGTAATGCATGATTTTTGTTTTTTCCAGGTAGATCTATCTGCTTTTTAAGGAGGGCAGGATGTCAGATCCATGTATCTGTCATCTCTTCAATGGAAGAAGAAAGGGAGGTGGGGACTGATGAAGAAATCCTTTTTGATGTAACCTGAATATATTTAATCTTATATTGAATGTGTATAACCTATACATGATACAATGGAGGGACAAAAACCAGATGCCTGGAAATCTATCACTTCTGGAAGAGACAGCCAGGGGATTAAGAGATCATAAAAATTCGACAGTGAGATGTGCCCTGGGAACCTCTGAAAAAGATCGTTCTAAGAAGGGGGTGGGGGAATTAACATACTGGCTTTTGTTTTACTCAATACACATCAAGATAAGGGGAGGAGTTTTAAACTCCCTTATCTATCTCTGCATGCCTGAGAGACCTTAGACACTGCTTTTAACCCCTACATGAATTGTCTCATCTCAATAAAGGATTTCTTTTGATACGTTTAGTTTTCAGAAGTTCATTCTAGTTGATTGAACGGGAAAAGTTCTGTAGCCTGACACTGACATCTCTACAACGCTGTACAAGAATGCTGAATAGGGCATCTTGTGTTCCAAGATTTTTTCTGAAACCAAATTGTGTGTTATTTAGACACTCCTCAATTTTGAGAGATGGATAAAAATGCTAAATCCAGTTTAAACATTTGACTGACTATGCAACTAACCATAATAATAGTAATTGTAATCATCATTACTAATAGTAATTGTAATCATCACTACTAGAGCCATAGTGGTGCAATGGTTAGAATGCAGTACTGCAGGCTAACTCACTGCTCACACCAGAAGTTCGATTCTGTACGGGTCCATATTTACTCAGCCTTCCAAGGTTGGTAAAATGAGGACCCAGATTGTTGGGGAAATATGCTGGCTCTGTAAACCACTTAGAGAGAGCTGTAAAGCACTGTGAAACAGTATATAAGTCTAAATACTATTGCTATTTGTTAATCTGTCAACAATACTGAACAAATCAGACCATGGGTGTTAAACATCAAAAACATTTCCCAGGCTGGGTTAAATATATCACCTGATCAGTCCTTCAGGATCTTTGTTCTTGATTAAATCAGATGATTTAAGGAAAAAAACTTGGGACAATATCACTTCTGCTGTACCTTCTTCACTATTAGTAGTCTTACTGAGGCCCTTTGCTCCCTACCACTGGCTTGGTTGACTTTTCTTTCTGTGGCTAAATAGTGTTCTCCCAGAAGAATCATGTCACAAATGATGAAGAAAGAAAGGAAACCAAACAGCTAAGCAGAGAGACAATATAATGCTCAAATTTATCTTTTCTTTTCCACAGATCTCCTCTGAGTGGCTAGATTTGACCTGGACACTTTCTCAAACTATCCCATTAAAATAAACTCCCCAGACTTTATTCTGCAATATATCAAACACCCCAAAACAAATAAGGAAGAAATTATGGTTTCTTTGATGTCACTGCTCTCTTCACCTCAATTGACATTGACCTGGCTAAGCACACCATACACGACCTACTCACTAAACACCATACCCACAAAACACAATCCATGTCCACAGAAACCATCATGAAACTCCTGAATCTATGCCTCAACACATACCTCAAGTTCAATGGGAAAATCTATAAGCAAATACAAGGTACCCTTGTGGGATCATCCATATCAGAAGCAGTCATGCAACGACTCAAATCCATAGCTGTACCCACCATCCAACCAAAATTCTGGACATGCTACATCAACGATACCTTTGTCATCATCAAACTCTCCCAAATTGAAGAAACATACCACCTACTCAATAACATATTCCCTGGGATCAAATTCACACATCAAGAGGAAACAGAATGTCAGGGTTCCAAGTAACATTCCCAAGAGAATCAAAGACAGGCATCTTCCTCAGATTTATTAGAGATGTCATATTGGCACATCTGGGGAAAACCTGAATCTGAAAGCCCCACGTTTTCCCCACCTAAAGTAAAGTTAAAATTCCTCCCCCTCCATTCACATGTGCATCACATGGTCCAATCCAGTCACTATCTCAACTCTGGTTAACTTCCAGTCATGCCTCCTCAGGTGCTGGGGAGACATCCTTGATTCTCAGGTGAATGAATTACACACCCTACACTATCTCCACCTTCCCCCTCCCATTCCCACATCTTGCCCAGCCACTGCTGTGGCAGCCCTGAAGACTCCCATTAAAGATGGCTCCAGGGCTGACACAGATAACAGATTCCCAACATGTGTTCCACAATGTTGACATAAGGAGACTAGTCAGTGGAGAACTAGAAACTCATGTCTACCGCAAACCCACGTGTATGGATCAGATCCTCAGCTTCACAAACAACCACCCCACTATACACAAAAGGGGCGTTGGTACTTACCTGATACGGCCATTCTCTTTGAGCTGCGAAGAGCATCCAGTAGTGGGAGGTGCTTCAGTCTCCACATTGTTAGGCTGAGCTTGAATTGAGGAACGCTCCTCCTCCTCCATGTAATTCCTCCGCAGCATTCCCCAGTTTTGCGAAGACGAGAGGAATAAGTGCTCTCATCCTTACTACCTAGAAAAGTTCATTGGCCGAAACAAGAGCCCACCAGATGGAAAAAAAGGGTGGGGCTGGATGTTCTTCGCAGCTCAAAGAGAACGGGCGTATCAGGTAAGTACCAACGCCCCTTCTCCTATGATCTGCTCAGAGCATCCAGTAGTGGGACATACCAAAGCTTGGCCTGTCCTACGGGAGGGACTCCGTCTGGTTCGGAATCTCCTCGGGGTCCCTAAGAACCCGTTGCAGAACCTGTCTGCCAAATGAGGCCTCTGTGGAGGCAAACACATCAATTTTGTAGTGTCTGATGAAGGGTGATGGGGAGGCCCAAGTCGCCACCCGGCAGATTTCAGTTATTGGTGTCTGAGTGGCCCAGGCCACCAAGGTCGCCGCACTCCTAGTTGAGTGAGCAGTTATGCCTCTAGGTACCTGCAGGGCTTGACCCTGGTATGATCTAGCTATTGTTGCGCTTATCCAACGGCCTATGGTGGATGGAGACACCTTGTGACCCTGTGTCTTGGGCTGAAAAGAAACAAATAAAGCTTCCGATTTTCTGAAGGACTGAGAGCGCTTGATGTACGTTCGCAGAGCGCGCCTAACATCAAGCTTGTGCCATTGCCTTTCCCTCTCCTGTGAAGGCCTGGGACAGAAGTTTGGGAGGATGAGCTCCTGTGCTCTATGGAAAGTCGAGTTGACCTTGGGCATAAATGAGGGATCGGGATGGAGAACCACCCGATCAGCATGAAAAACGCAGAGGTCTTGTCTGAGAGACAAGGCTGCGATTTCCGATATGCGACGAGCGGAGGTGATGGCTACCAGGAAAACTACCTTATATGTCAAAAATTGGAGACTTGACTCCCTCAATGGCTCGAACGGTTGTTTGGTGAGAGAAAGAAGGACCTTGTTAAGGTCCCAGGTGGGGTAACGGTGTACTGCTGGGAGACTTAGATTAGTAGCCCCTCTAAGGAAAGAGCAAATGTGAGGGTGATGGGAGAGGGAGCTGAAACCTTGGCAGGAAAAAACAGATGTTAGCGCAGCTACCTGCCTCTTCAGGGTATTAGGGGAAAGCCCTTTATCAAGTCCCTTCTGCAGAAATTCTAAAATCTGAGCTACAGAAGGTGAAGTAGGGTCTATTTGGGATTTACTACACCATCTGCAGAAAATGGACCAAGTGGCATTGTAAATACGGATGGTTGAGGGTCACCTGGCAGCTAGAATAGTGCTAATGACTTTGTTGGAGAGCTTCTCGATCTTCAATCTGCTCCGCTCAACCTCCAGACGGTCAATTGGAACCATTGAGGGTCTGGGTGTAGGAGGGGCCCCTGAGATAGTGAAATCTTGTCTGGTGGAATCCTCCAAGGAGGGGCTACCGAAAGGCTGCGAAGGTCTGCAACACGCCCACCTGGGCCAGTGGGATGCCACTAGGAGTAATTCCACTTTCTCCTATAACAATTTCTAGATGACCCTGGGCACCAGTGCTAGCAGGGAGAATGCATACAAGAGCCCCCTTGGCCATGAGCAGTGGAGGGCGTTGTAATTCTCTGCCCCGTGGGATGGGTATCTTGAGAAGAATCTCGGGAGCTGAGCATTGAGAGGGGAGGCAAATAGGTCCACCACTGGTTGTCCGAATATCCCTGCTTCTTCCCTGAACAGCGACAGGTGGAGGTGCCACTCTGACTGGTCTATGGTGGCCCTGCTTAGCCAATCTGCTTGTGTGTTTGACAGGCCGGAAATGTGCTCTGCCTTGATAGAAAGAAGATTGTTCTCCGCCCAGCGACACAGGTGCTCGGCTTCTCTCATCAATTGTATGGATTGTGTGCCCCCTTGTTTGTTTATGTGAGCTTTAGCTGTCACATTGTCTGTTAGGATGAGGATGTGTTGACCTCGTTCCTGGGGGAGGAAGCTGCGGAGGGCAAGGAAAACAGCGTGAAGCTCCAGCCAGTTTATGCTGCACGACTGTTCTATTGCAGACCATCTGCCCTGGGATGTGAGTGACAGCAGGTGGGTGCCCCATCCGAACAAGCTGGCATCTGTGGTGATAGTAATCCTTTGTGGCTCCTTGAAGAGGCAGTCCTTGCTGATGACTGGTTTGGCCCACCAAAATAGGGACATGAGGACCTTGGGAGGTACCCTGACCATGCATTTGGAGTTCCTTCTGCCGGATCTCTGGTATGGAAGCAGGAACCACTGGAGGGATCTAGAGTGTAGACGGGCGCAGGGAATAATAGAAATGCATGATATCATTTTCCCTAATAGTTTAGACAGATCTAGTAAGGATACCCTTCTGGAGCACCTAATCTCCTGAACAGATTTTTGGATGCTAATTAGTCTATCTGGAGACAGATAGACTTTTTATTCCAATGTGTCGATAACTGCCCCCAAATGAGTTATTTGAGTCGATGGAGATAATTGACTCCTTTTCCAATTTATGAGAAAACCATGCTCCTGGAGAGAAGTCAAGGTAACCTGGGTGTCCCTCGCTGCTTGTGAATTGGAGGGGGACAGAATTAAAATGTCGTCCAGGTAACACTGAAGACGAATGGGGATATTCCTGAGATGGGCAGCGAGTGCTGCAAGGACCTTGGTAAAAGTTCTGGGGGCAGAGGCTAGTCTGAAGGGAAGGGCCATGTATTCAAAGTGGTGATTGTTGTAACAGAATCTTAGAAATTTAAAATGGGAAGGCCAAATACCGATATGTAAGTATGCCTCCGTCAAGTCAATGGACGTGAGCAGATCCCCATGTCTAATACTCAGCAATATCGATTGTAGGGTATGCATTTTGAATTTATGATAAGTTAGAAAATGGTTAAGCCTTTTTAAATCCAAAATTGTTCTCCACCCCCGAGTGTTTTGGAACAACAAAGAAGTGAGAGTAAAAACCCCGCCCTCTTTGTTCAGACAGAATTGGTTGGATGGCCTTTATGTTTACGAGGTGTTGGATAGTGGAATCCATTAGATTACGCTTGATCGGGTCTTTGGAGCGGGGGCACGACATAAAGAAATTTGGGGGAGTGGTGTGAAACTCAAGGGCAAGACCAAATCTAACGGTGTCTCTGACCCAAGCGTCAGAGGTAGAAGCCTCCCATTGACTCACAAACAACCTAAGGCGACTGCCAATGGGAGTCTCTCCTGACCTATCTTGGGCATCGGAAGGGCCTGCTTCCAGTCCCTCGAAAGGGCCTCTTGTATTGGCTGCCCCTTCTACTTCTGTCTCCCGAATCAGCTCTATCCTGGGGTTGACCTGGTCTGAAGGAAGGGGGCCTCTGATACCTGGGGAAGAAGGGAGTTTGATAGGAGGGCCGAAAGGAGCCTCTCCGAAAGGGCTGGGGGGTTCTGAAATCTGATTTTCGAAAAAGGGAAGGAAGAAACTTTTTCTTGCTGCGGGTCTCCATAAGTAAGGGGTCCAGGGAAGGGCCAAACAGCTTGTCTCCCACGAGGGGGGAAGAAGCCAGTTTTGCTTTATTTTTAAAATCCGCCTGCCAGTGTCTCAGTCAGAGTAAGCGGCGAACAGTGACATGTGATGTGATTGCCCGAGAGGAAAACTTGACTGAGTGGTAAGTGGCATCGGCAGAAAACTCGGCAGCAGCCGTAATCTTCATGATGTCCTGGTGTGCCCTGATGTTAGTCAAGGGGACGTGTTCCTGCAGTTGGTTAAGCCAACGAATGGATGCCCTTTTGAAAAAGGATGCGGCTGTAGCCGATCTGATGGCCCATGCGTCTGACTGGTGAGCCCTGCGCAGGGCTAACTTGGCCCGCTTTTCCTCAGGCTTTAGAGCCTCTAGCGCCTCAGTCCGAGTTAGGGAGGACGCTAAGCCCACTATGGGCTCATCTACCTTCGGGGTACTCAGTAACTTTGAAAACCCTGAGTCTAAGTTAAATAATTTTTTATCATGCCCAGAAGGGGCCAGGTGTACCGCTGTAGAGGCCAGCTGCTTTTGCACTAAATCAGAGAAAATGGGTGGGACCGGTATAACCTCAGCCTCAACTACAGGCTGGTTAAAGATTAAGTCCTCTGGACCTTCAGTTGAGGGTGCGGGGGTGTCACCTGGTGATTGGGTACCTGGCCTGAGATGTTCTTGGCCTTGAATAACAGTGATTTGAATAGGTGTGGTCTGAATAGACCTGTGAAGGCAGGCTGGTCCGGGATAAGCCCCTCATCCTCCGACATTTCCCCTTCCAGAGGGTCTGCCTCTGATAGGGGCTCGCTGTCCTGTATAGACCCCATTTCGAGGTCATCTGTCACCGTGAACTGGGCCATTTCTCCCTCGTCCTCCTCCTCCTCCTCCCGGGCTTGAAAGGGGGGTTCCCTTTGAGAGTATACCTGGTGGTGGTCTGACCTGGGAAGGGATCTTAGTGACTGAGACTCAAGGTCAGGAGCCACCGGATAATGACTGGACCTGGTTATTTGCTGGAGTCCGTCTGCGATCCCTTGGCAGATAGCCAACTCCATCCAGGTCCTTACTCTCTCTGGAACCTCCTCAATGAGGGAACCCTCTTGGCGAAGGCCAGTGGCTGTTGGGGTAAAGGTGGGATCTGGCGCCTTTCTGGCTGGTGTTCCGGGAGTTGGAACATGTTGTCCTTGCGAGGGCAAACTGCACCTGGGTGAAAGGGGAAGATCTAGAGGAGGGGGGGGTTGAGCAGAGGTAGAAGGACTGGAGGATGGTAAAGCCTGAGGCATCAGGAGGACTTCCCTGGCGCGTTTGTCAAATTCTTTTTGTAGTGCTTTAAGGCATCTCTTGGGGAAGCTTTGGAGGTCTCCTTAGCCTGCTTGCGCAAGTGATGGGTTTTTGCTTTTGCCTTCGATGAAGGGCCTTTAGAAGTGTTACCATCTGCCATTCTTAAAATTATATACTGTAGTAATAGAATAGAAGAAAAGACAATAAGATGCGGTTGGCACGCCCCGGGTCCAATCTGAGTCAAGATGGTTGCCCTGATAATTCTTAACGTTCCCCCCCTTTTTTTATATGGCTATATGTCTATGACCATATATAGAGTTGTATCTCAGTGATAATAATGTAACAAATTACAATATTATACTGTATAAAATATATTATTATTATTAATATTATTAATAATTATTAGTATTACTATTGTAAAATTGATACTAATATTGAAGTTATGCTTGAGAATGATACCACAATGAGGCTGGTATAATTGTTGCACTAGTGCAGTAGGAGCCACAGTATACTTGCAGCCCAATTTTTGGGAAAAAGTCAACCAATTAGCCAAATTTCGATACACCTGAGGCCCAGTATTAATGAAATGGGGCCTATAGCAGCTGCTTGCACAGGCGGACAAGGCCTAGGTGCTTGCTGCTGTGCCACTGAGGAAACTGTGGGGATTTATTAAGCCAACAATATGCAGTAAGAAAAAGGTAACCTCGAGTACAAATTGCCGGAGAAGGGAGGTTAGGAGACTCAGAGGATCTAGGGGAATCCTCAGTGTGAGTCAAATTCACCCACAGCGCAGGGAAATTGAAGAAAGTAGGCCTGTGCCACGTTTCTTTGCAATCCAAAATGGTGTCCACCAGCAAAAAAAAAAAGCTCTGGTAGTGCTCAGCGGTCTTCTCCCTTCAGGGAAATCAAAAACGAAACTCCAAGAATGGAGTCAGTGAGAGAAGGGAGAGTTTAAACTGATTAAATTGCAATCGGTGTTCGAAGGGGGGCAGGAAGAGCGATACGACATCACAGCGAACAAACACAAGCAGCTAAAACAACGAGGGCAAGAAAAAAATGAAAGAGAACGAAGCGGCTGTTAAAAGAGGCAGAGGCAAATTTTCTGGCAATGGGGAGGTGGCGCGAAACGTTGTGGAGCATCCCGCTGCCTTCCTGGGGGGCGTAACAGCGCTTCCCCTTAGATAGAAAATCTGATCAATTTAAACAATTGCGCAGAGGCTAAGGAGAGAAAAAGGAATCAAACCTGAAGAGAAATTGAATTAGAAGTCTTTGAAACGAAGTCGTGGTTCGGCCAAGGAGCAAGCTAAAGCACTGCCTGTTTCGCATGAGGCTCAGCTAAAACTGGGGAACGCTACGGAGGAGTCACGTGGAGGAAGAGGAGCATTCCTCAATTCAAGCTCAGCCTAACAATGCAGAGACTGAAGCACTTCCCACTACTGAATGCTCTGAGCAGCTCATAGGAGAAAAAGCTGTGTCCAGACCCTGTTCAAAAGGGCCAGAACACTGCAGCACCACAAGACTAAGAAAAGCAGAACATAAATGACTGCTCGATGTCTTTCTCCATAATGGCTATCCAAAAAACTTTATATTCTAACACACACCCAAACCACACCACACCGCCAATCACCATGCAAAAACTAATCCTACCGTACACAAAAGGGGTGTCAGAAACAACAGCCAGAATCCTCCAACCCCTAGGAATAACAAACCCACAGCCACACTCCGCCAGGAATTATCCAGAAGCAAGGATAAAATGCAGAAGGATAAAAGAAACAATGTAATCTACAAAATCAACCGTAACCATTGCAACCAATTCTATGTGGGATAAACAACATGTCAATTAAAAACCAGGATCCACAAACATTGGCTTAATCTTAATGCCATTAATCTTAATCTCCTTAATCTCTACCCATACTGACACCATACAGCACCAATTCAATTGGAGCAACAGAAAAATCATTGGCCACACGACTACCTGCCAAGCTCATGAGTTCATTGAAGTCTGGCACTCCACAAGCAATTCCATCAACAGACACACTGACCTACAACTAGCCTACAAACCCCTCAGAATCCAAACCAGTTGCACAACCAACCAGAGACAGTACCGAGCCTCAACCAAACCACACAACACTCCTACCAGCAGTTCACCTCCCAATGATCCTGACCAGATGTAATCTCCTTATCACAAGACCCATCACAAGACTCACAGCTGACCCATCACAAGACCAGCATTGGGCACACCCATACCTGAAGCCCTTATAAACAGTAGAACACTGACACTGACATCCCCTAAACTCCACTGAAGATATTACCTAGCCTGGTACTGAAATATTCGGAAACCAACCCACAAGCTCGGAGAATGAACCTCCACCCTTATCTCATTGAAAAATAGGTATGTTAAAACTCTACCCATGCCAGTAAATTGCAGTCTTTCTCTGTATATGATTTGCAGTTGTATGAAAGACTGTTTCATAAGAAAACTGAAGAATCCCAATAAGTAGCAGTGGCCAGATCTCGTTATCACTATGAAGGTCCCCAAAAGTTTTGAAACTCACAGGGCTAATTTCTTGGCATTGTTCACATCTGCAATACTTACTTAATTTTCATTATTTTGGTTTCGGTAATTAATTTTTCAAGGAATTCATTGTAATACCTTTATCTTTTAAAATATAAAACATGAAAATATTATAAATGTGAATAAGTATATTAAATGTGAATTCATTTGAACACAGTACATTAAAATAATTTCCTAGGAAACTTTTTAATTTGATAACAGTAAAAGATGCTTCATTAGAACAATGTTAAGGAAAGCTTATTGAGAATTGTTAAGTGTGAATGTAAGGTTTGAAAAAGGATGCAGAAAAGTAGGTTAATTTGAAAAAGCAGGTTAGTTTGATTAAGATGTTTTATTAAATTGAATAACCATGATGAACAAAAAGTTATATTTTAAAAAATCTGGAGAGAATAATTAAATAATGGATAATCTAATCTGCTTGAGAAACTTGTAACTATAAAAGTACAGGGGGAAAAAGCAGCTATTCCTCCTTATAGTCATTGTTCATAATTTGACAGCTTGCACAATATAAGTTCAGAGTCAAGAACACTGCATTTTCACTAAATGCACTGCAGCAGTGAAGACTCTTTATTACCAGTTACCAGGATGTCCAGAACTTTTCCACATTGTTCCCAATTAAATCAAGATTGTTTTTTTTATTTAAAATCATGGCCAATTTTGTCTTAATTATTTTGGAGACAAAACAACAGAAAGTCTGTTTACAGTGAAAATATTGTCTAGGAATAAGGTGATTGCTACAACTGGTAGGGCAATCCTTTCCTATTTTTAACAAATATTTTCTCTTGTTGAAGAGTAAACATTGCATTGTCCAGTAGTGGGCAATTGAAAACCTAGAGATTATATTCAGTTATCTATACCAGATCTATCATTCACACACCATTATTGACTCAAAGGAAAATTTAGGCAAGGTAGAAAACAATGAGTAAATAAGATACAGAGATGTAATGCTTGCAATTCTGTTTTAATCACCCAAGCAAAGAGAGTTGGTTGAAGGCTTTAGTTTTAAACTCAGACTACTATATAATTGCAAAGCATTGAGTTATTAAGGCAAGGGATGAAAAAAAGGAACAGTCTTCAGAAGGCAGGTGAAGAGGGAAGTCACAACATAGGAAACCATGGTCTCATCTGGGTCCAGTTTTAGTTTGCAAACCTTGCTGACGAAGTCTTGTGAATCATTGATGTGATGGGTGGGGTGGTCAACTAGAGGAGCAAATAAGTGGTTAGGTGTTTTGCAATGTTGTAGGTGACAGAGTTGATGCTGCTGACAATTGGTATGAGTGGAGTTCCCTCTTTATGGATTTGGGGGCATCCATGTATGCAAGGATAGTCTCACTAGAGTAAAGACAGTAATATTGTGACTTGTCCGTGGCATTGTCCTTCAGTAGATATTGCAAGAAATTAATGACCTTATTAGCTCCTCTAATTGGCAAGATCACCCATCACCTCAACAATTCACAGGACTTTGCTAGCTTGATTTGGAAACTAAAACTGGACCAAGATGAGATTGTGGTTTCCTATCATGTGACTTCCCTCTTCACCTGCATTTCAACAACTGAAACTGCCATGGTAGTGAAGAAATGACTGCTACAAGTCAGCACCTTCGATGACAGAACCAACCTCAGCCCAGACCACATATGTGCTATGCTGGACCTCTGCCTGACCACTAACTATTTTAAATATAATGAAGGATTCTACAGGCAAAAAGACGACTGCTTCATGGGTTCACCTGTGTCCCCCATTGTGGCCAATCTCTACATGGAAGAGGTAAACACCAAAGCCCCACATTTCCTCACAGGAATTCCACCCACACACTGGTATAGGTAAATGAACAATACTTGGATCAAGATCAAAACACAGGAATTGGAAATGTTCATCAAATGTATCAACTCTGTGAACATACATTAAATTCACATGGAAAGATGTTAAGCAATATAATCTAGCCTTCCTGGACTGTGCAGTACACCTTAAGGAAGACAGAAGTTTTAACACTGAAGTTTACAGAAAATCCACATACACAGCTCAATATTTACTTTTTGGTTTTTACCACCCACTGGAACACAAAATAGAAAGCCTATACCACCGAGCTAAAGGTCTGCCTACCAGCAAAGATGGGAAAGGGGATAAAAAACTATAACACACCAAGGAAGCCCTCAGAACATGTTGCTATTCCAAATGGCCTTCATCAAATCTCAAAAAAGACTCTACAAGAACTCCTCCATAACAGACAATGAAGAGAGCCATAAATGAAGCAACATTGTCATTCCAAGGTCAGGAGGATCTTCAGCCAACACACTTCAAACCCAAGAATACACTAAGGCAGAAACTTGTCCATCCCAAGGATAAAACACCCAGACACCAATTGAGCAATGTGGTATATTGAGTACCATGCAGTGAGCCATATGCAGATCTGTACATTGGGGAAAATTAAAATAGGATACAAAAATATATAGTAGTGCTTCTCATATTGCAGATTATTTCAATCACAAGTTGAAATAGATTCAAGATTTCAGTTTGGTTTACAGGTAGTCCTCAACTTATAACCATTTGTTTGATTACCATTCAAAGTTAAGATGATGCTGAAAAAACTGATTTACAATCAATTCTTATACTTATAACTGTCAGCCCCATGGCCCTATGATCAAAATTTGGGCACTTAGCATGTATTTATGATACATTAGCATCTCGGGATCATCTGATCACCATTTACAAATCTTCCCAAGGGGCTTCTGACAAGCAAAATCAATGGGAGAAACCAGATCAGCTTAATTGACTGCAGCAAAAAAGGTTGCAAAATTAGGTGCAATTCACTTAATAATTGTATCACTTAGCGACTGAATTTCCAGTACCAATTGTGGTTGGAAGTTCAGGATTATCTGTACAGGTAACGAAATAGTCAATGCATTTGTGTGTCTGATTCATTTTGCAAATGCTAATGAAAAAACTATCTAGATCAGGGGTGTCAAACTCATATCGTCACAGCGGTGTCACGTGACATATCGGGACTTTTTTCCCCTTCGCTAAACCGGGTGTGGATGTGGCCAGCGCATGACGCAGCCGCTCACAGACTGGGAGTTTGACGGCCCTGATCTAAATTCTAGTTGTGTAGGCAGAAATCTAATGCTAGATAATGCTATCCTGGGTCAAATGGCAAATTTTTGAGCGTATATTAAAATAAAGGTTTTTTTTAAAAAAAATCATCTTTCATTTACAACATTGTTGACTCTAATGACTAGTAACAATGGCAGGTACACTCTAGGATAATTGACTGAGACAGATTATATTTATTATATAATACATATGTGAGCAAAAAAATTGTCATGTTTTACAAGAAGCATTGTGTTGACGAGTTCATTTTAACAGTAATATAGAATTGGAGGGAGGGACTGCAATTCTCAAGCCCAACATTGCCAAGTACAATCCATCTGCACTAATAGCCATAGTGTGGGACTTTTTCCCTTAACATCATTCCCTTCATACTCTCATTTTAGACTACTGTCAAGATTGTATTGATGCAAAGGCTGAGCCCAGTCTTATAAGATTTATAAGGCTCCCTTTCTATTGGTTTCTGGCAGATTTATCTGCCTGCAGTTATAATACCAGAAGAAGTTCCATCATCCACTTTTTTTCATGGTATCTCTGAAAGTGGATAGGCTGGGAGCATTACACAATGTTATAAAGAGAAGAAATCTGTGAATTCAGGGGTGGGATTCAAAAATCCCAGAAACCGGTTTGTTGCCTGGTTGCTGGGTGGGCATGGCCTACTGGGACTTCCAGGAGGACTGTTTTTTGCCTTCCCCAGGGTCTGGAGGTTTCCCTTGGGCCTCTGGGAGGGTGAAAATGGACTCCCCCAGGCTCCAGAAGCCAAAAAACAGGTCTGTTTTCTGGACTTCTGAAAGGCTTGTTCTTTCACCCTCCCAGAGCCTTCACGTGAACTCTGCACTTATCTGCATCCAAAATGGGCCACATGGAGACTCCTGGGAGGGCTGGGGCCAGCTACTCAGTTCAACTACTGGTTCAGTGAACCAGATGTAAATTTAACATCCGGTTTGCCCGAACCAGTCCGGACTGGTAGAATCCCACCCCTGTGTGTATTGGGTGTTACTCAGTGTGGTAAGCCACGCAGAAAAGAAAGCAATAGTGGGTGGTGCCAAAGCAGGCCAAGTACAGTGTAGGAAGTCCCCCTGCCCCACAGATTAAAATATTTTTTTATTTTGGAATATTAAAAAGAGGCAGGATAGAATATTTTCTCCAAAGGAGAAAAACCTTAACAAATGCAGAAAGCAGCCCCAGTCTTCCTGCTATAGAAAAACAGCCTCAAGCACAGGCTTGAAGGGGCTGGTCTTTAGGAAAGGAGATTTTGTATCCAATCAGAAAGACTGGGCCAATCTATTCATAAGCAAAGAGACTCCAAATAAGCAATACAATAGGCAAGCCAAACCTGAAAGGATTCGTTCAGACAAACACTAGGATTTGCATTTCCCCTTTTTCTTGTAGAGTAGGTCTATCAAACTCATGGCCCTTTGGGCCAGATGCACTAGGCACCCCTACGCCCGGGGGAAAAAGTTGTGATATGTCAGGTGACAACACTGACGATGCAAGTTTGACATCCCTGCTGTAGAGCCAGCCATGATGCCTACATGATCCCATAGGAATCTGACAACAGTCATTAAAATATTAAAGGACATGTTATTTCATAGGAATAGGCATCTCAATTACAAAGCCCCAAAGAATGTACTCTCAACCCCATTTTGTCAGCCACCCTAGAAACATTCTGCTGTCACTAGTTTCTGGCTACCAAATAAACAGAGATTTCTTTTTCTTCAGCCTGTCTTCATTTTTATTTCCAGCATCAATTATGGCCACAATTGAGCCCAAAATTTATGTTGCTGTGTGACAAATTTATTAAGTGAATCATTGCAGTTGTTAAGTTAGTAACATGGTTGCTAAATGAATTTGGCTTCCCCATTGACTTTACTTGTCAGAAAGTCGCAAAAGGTAATCACATGATCCTGGGACAGCGCAAACATAAATATGAGTCAGTTGCCAAGTATTTAAATTTTGATTATATGACCAAGGGGATGCTGCAATGGTTGTAAGTGTGAAAAATGGGCATAAGTCACTTTTTTCAGTGCCATTGTAAGTTTGGACAGTCACAAAGTGAACTGTTGTAAATTGAGAACCACTGGTACAGATGTTAGTCCTGAAACTAAATAATAAAATTTGCTTGTTACTTAAAAAAAAAAATGCTGCCAACTTGCTGAAGCATGCCTCCATTGCTATGAAAATCAGGTAGGGCAATTTTATCCACATACACACCATATCTATGTAAGCTTGTATGAGATTATTTACTATAAAGAATAGTCAATGAGTTTATAGGTCCAATTACTGAATACTGTATACTTCCTTATTTCATCTTTTTTCATTTATTACATGTGCTTTATGGCAGGTTAATTAAGTCTGGTGTACGAATACGACCTGCCAAGGTGTTGCACAAGCTTGCTCACAACAGATACTTCTTCTTAGTTCTTTTTATCCTGATCTAAAAAAGAATGGAGGTGGATTGGCTGAAATGCCAGCTTGTCTTTGTAATACCAAGTATTGGTAATTAACAGAGGGAGTGGGGAGACTTGCAAAGAAGATTCCTCCCATGAAATCACTGAGTTGTGTTAATAGTAACTTCATAGAAATCTATAAAAGCTTCGTTTCTTTCATAAGGGAGCTCTTATGTCAATGCTTCAGATTTCTCATTTCCCCACTGTCACAGGTACTTTTTTTTCCTTTCTATCCTTCAGTTCACGCTTCTCCAGTCTTTTCAAACATCTGTTTTTCTAAGAGATCCTGGAGAACAGTAGTTCACTCCGCTCATATCAGTGGCCATGCCAGGCTTATTGAATGGGTTTTTATTTGACGAAATAAATGATAGTGGTTGTGCCATGAACATTATGGATAAAGGCTAGACAGATTAAATACTTTAGAATAGAATGTGCTCGAGGGAGCTTGGAGGTCTTCTAGTCCAGCCCCCTGCTCAAGCAGAACCTATACTATTTCAAATAAGTGATTATCTAGTCTCTTCTCAAATACTGAAATACTGTTATCATGTCACCCTTAATTTGTCTTTTCTTTAGATTAGCCAAACCCAAACCTTACAGTAGTTCTTCATATGTTTAGCTTTTGATCATTTTAGTTGCTTGTCTCTGAATTTTTTTTCCCAAAGTCTCAACATCTTTTTTGTAGTATGGTGACCAAAATTAGTTGCAGTATTCCAGATGTAGTCTTACTAGGATTTTATAAAGTGATACTAATACTTCACGCGATCTTGATTTTATGCCTCTGTTGGGGTGTGATGCTAGTTTGCCACTTCATGATGCACCTTGGATAGCACATAAGTGTGAACCAAACAACTTGCAACAATTGGCAGCAAGACTATGTTGAAGAATTGGCAGTTAGCAACAGTTGGCAGCAGTGGTGGTATAGCTCTGAGGAGCATCTGTGAGCGAACTGGTTCACTCTGACAATCAACTGCTGGCCTGCCCCGGCTCTATTCTTACCTTTATTTCTTGCTTTTCAACCTCAGCTTGCTTGGCACAGCATAGCCAATTGCCGCACATCAGGAGTTTTACACACAGCAGAAGGTGAACTGAAATGCTGCGCGCGCGCAAGGCATGCTCACACCATACCAGTAAGAAAATTTTTTGAAACCCACCACTGGTTGGCAGTCAGAATCTTTGTAGAAATCCTGGCTCTCTAAATACACGGAAATGGATAAACAAAATGGCTCCCCATCCTGAGCCACATTGTGAAGGAATACAACAAAATTACAATTCCCTCAACAGCTGTCTAACAACTTTAACATCAACACACAGTGGAAAGCCAAATGGGCTGCTGAATGCCCAGATACAGGCAGTTACATAGATGACCCTACACAAAAGGTGCCAGATTTGAGCTTCCTCGCCAGCATTGGTCAACTCTGAACAGGATCCGTACCCAACATGTTTTTAAGTGGGGTCTTGTCTCTACCCCTCAGTGTGACTGTGGTGCTCCTCGACAAAATATCCATCAAATTGTGTCTGAATGTCCATCAAGAGTTTAACATTTGAACTACTGTAAGTCCATGTATTTACCATATGCTAAATTAATAAATAAATAAGCATCTGTTTATACAACCAGGATTGTATTAGCTTTTTTAGCTGTTGCCGCATACTGCTGGCTTATATTCCATCCACTAAAACTCCAAGGTCCCTCTCACAGTTATTGTTTTTGAGCCAGTTCATGCCTAATCTGTACTTATACTTTTGATTTTTCCTGCCTAAGTATAAAACTTTGCTTTTTTCAACATTAAAATTCATTTTGTTAGATAGAGCCCATTGTTCAGGATTGTCAAGATTATTTTGGATCCTGAGCTTGTCTTCTGGGGTGCTGGCTATTTCTACCAGTTTAGTGTCACCTGCAAATATGATGAGTTCCCCTTCTATTCCCTCAACTAAGTCATTTATGAAGATATTGAAGAGTACTGGGCCTAACATGGAGCCTTGTGGTACTCTATTGCCTACTTTTCTCTCCATGTGGATGTAGTACCATTAAGGGCTACTCATTGAGTACAGTTTGTCAGCCAGCTACAAATCCACCCAATGGTGATGTCCTCTATTCCACATTTTTCTAGCTTACCAAGAAGTAGGTTGTGGTCTACTTTGTCAAATGCGTTTCTGAAGTCTAAATATACTATGCCCACAGCATTTTGCTGGTCTACTAATGTAGTGACTTTATTAAAGAATGAAATAAGATTGATACAGATAGATAGAGATAAACAGAGTTGGAAGGGACCTTGTAGGTCATCTAGTCCAACCCCCCACCCAAGTGGGAGACCCTACACCATCAAATGGCAGTCCAATCTCTTCTTGAAAGTCTCAACTGATGGTGCTCCAACAACTTCCGAGGGCAAGCTATTCCATTGGTTGATTGTTCTCACTGTCAGAAAGTTTCTCCTTGTTTCCAGGTTAAATCTCTCCTTGTTCAGTTTCCATCCATTATTCCTTGTCTGGCCTACAGGAGCTTTAGAAAATAGCTTAAACCCTTCCTCCCAGTGGCAGCCCCTCAAATATTGGAAGACCGCTTTCATGTCTCCCCTGGTCCTTCTCTTTACTAGACTAGCCAAGCCCAGTTCCTACAACTGTTCGTTGCATGTTTTAGCCTCCAGTCCCCTAATCATCCTGGTTGCTCTTCTCTGTACTTTTTCTAGAGTCTCAACATCTTTTTTATAATGTGGTGACCAAAACTGGATGCAGTACTCTAGGTGTAGTCTTACTAAGGCTTTATAGAGTGGTATTAGTACTTCCCTTGATCTTGATTGTATCCCTCTGTTAATACAATTTAGGATTGATTGCATTAACTTTTTTGGCAGCTGCTGCACTCTGCTGGCTCATATTTAGCTGGTTGTCCATTAAGACTCCAAGATCCCTCTCACAGTTCCTGCTATTGAGCCTGGTTTCACCCAGTCTATATGTGTACTTTTGGTTTCTCTTGCTTAAGTATAGGACTTTACTTTTCTCTTTATTGAATTTCATTTTATTAGATATGGCCCAGTGTTCTGGTCTGTCAAGATCTATCTGGATCTTGAGCCTATCTTCTTGGGTGTTAGCTATTCTTGCCAGCTTGGTTTGGCATGATCTGTTTTTAACAACCCCGTGCTGGCTACTAGTTATAACTTTATTTGGTTCTAGTTGTTTGCAGTTGTCTGTTTTTTTATTTTTTCCAGGATCTTCCCAGATGTTCCTGGGTCTGGTCCCCCCCCCTTTTTTTGAAAATTGGAATCACATCAGCCTCTTTCCAATCCTCAGATACTTCCCTGGTGCTTCAAGATTTTTGAAAGACATGGTACAATGGTTCTGAGATAATATCTGCCAGCTCCTTCAGATATCTGGGATGTAATCTGTCCGGTCCTAGTGATTTATATTCATCAAGGTCAGATAGGTGTTCTCTATTTTTTTTTTAATTTTAATTTTTATTTCTAGATTGTCTTTTACAGGGGTTTTGGGGTACGTTGGGCTATAATTTCTTTTTGTGTGAAAACTGATGCAAAGAATGAATTAAGCAGGATTGCTTTCTCCCTACTGCCTGTTACTTCCTTGCCATCTTTCTTTAGTGAGCCTACTGTTTTCTTGTTATTAATATGTTGAAAGAAACTTTTTATTATCTTTAACTATTTGTTCCAAATAGCCTCCATGTTTCCAGTGCAAAGTGTCCTCAAGAGGAGCTGGAGTTTGTATTCATTTAAAGACAAATCTTCAATACTCAAGGACTGGCTGAGAGCTGCTTTTACATGTTGAAATTTCTGGAGCTGAGCCTGCTTGATGGGTTTCAACATGTTCCTTGATTGCCTGGGTCTTTTGTCTTTCCTATCCTGGTGGCTAATTCTGCCAGGAAAGAGGAAAAGGGGACTTCCAGGTGAGTTATCTTAATAATGGCTGTACTTAAATATTCCTTTCAAATGGTGCTTTTTTTTGCCTGGGATTTTTTTTAAAGGTGGAAGGGCTGGCTTGAGTTTTCTGAGATTTCTGGTGCTGTGAGTTTTTAGGTCCTTTTGGGGGAACTATCATGCCTTGATGGTTTTTATTACAGTGGTTTTGTCTTCCCTGTCCTTATGGTTAAGTAAAAAACTGGTTTTATCTGCAGTGTTGTTGTTTTTTTTTGGGGGGGGGGGGGGAACTGTTGTCATTCTTTTGCTGTTTTCCTGGCACTTTCCTAGGTTTACTTGGGGGCGGGGTGGGGTTGTATGCGCCTGAAGTTATCTACACATTAACAATGATCAAACACTAATAATATTTGCTTATCCTTTTTGGTGAACTTTCCTTATATAATTGGTGTCTTCTTTTATACTTTTAGATTTCTAACTCTGTTTCTGTTAGTCATTGATAAAACAAATCCCACATTAAAAAGTATTTGAAGCCTTCTCCTTGATTGTAAATTTGCAATTGTTAATTTATTCATTTCTGCACATTCTAGTATTTTTATTCATTTTCATATCTTTGTTTTTCCACTGCTCTGCAAATACAGCTGTTAAACATGTGTAAAATTAAATGTGTATTCTTCCCAACAAAATATTTCTGGTTTTAAATCCATATGTTGCTTTACTGTTGTTTCTAACCATTGTTGGAAGAAATATCCTAGGTTCAGTTCCAAGTGGGGAAAAAGTACTAGCACTCCTAACTTCAACTTCCCAATTACACAATTACCTGAAATCCTGGAGTTTGCTTTTGGGATACACTGGACAAAAAAACAACAAAAATTTCTTCCCTCCCTTCAGTCATAACCCACTCGGCTTTTCCTCTTATATACAGAAGGTCCCACACTCTGATGGCTCACCCTTGCTTTTCCTGTCCTGATGATCATGGCTCTATAGAGCTAGCAACAGGCAAGAGGGTGGCTAGAGGCCAAACAAAGAAATGAGATCCAGCCGCTGTCCAAGGATGAAGCCACTCACACACACGCTCTTCCTCCTTCCCTAACAAAAAGTCCTGTGCTCTGGCAAAACCCCCATGCTCTCCAGACTTTTGGTCTTTCTGCAGTTAGGAAATGCAGAGGAAGCAAGATCCAATTGTGTTTGGGAGAAGGGCCCTCTCACACACATATAAGCATACACATATTTCCCATGGTTTCAGTTTAGAATTTAGAGGTACTCACCTTCCTTCCAAGCAGCCTTGGAGCTCAACACTCAAAACTCCTTTAAAAACTTTGTTCCAAATGGCCAAGGTCCAGGAAAACTCATCCACAGACTCAATGGGTCTGTTTGCTGGCAAGGGAATCTTACCTGGGCCTGGTCCATTGGTTAGATTAGCTTGGAGTCCCTTCGTGGTTGCCAAATGTTGGAAGAATTATCCTTCTGGGCTCAGCTCCAAGTGGGAAAAAGACACCAGAAACATGAAGGCTGTCTGGAAGGTTCAATGGTGGACAGGACCACATGGCCTGGAGCTCTAGAGTGAAAAGGAAGGATGATCACATGCTTCAAGGTGAAGGAAGAGATCAAGAAAAAGGGCTGAGATGCTGAGAGTGCTTGGGTTTTATAACCTTCGTTGGGATTTGAATTGGAGCTTGTATTCTGATTGGTTGTCAGACTCCCATGGGGCCATGCAGGGGCAACTCGGTAGGATGTCCTGATTTCCAGGCTTGGTTGAGCCTTGCTGGATGATGATGATGCACTGAAAGGGCTTTTGAGCAATTGCTATAGTTTTACCTGGAGATCATTGTTATGTAAAGTATTCTGGCCCAGGCCTTAATGGCCCACAAACAAAAGTGGGTGTAAGCTTCTGCTTCTGAGGTGAGTTTCTGCTTCTGAGTTTCTACTCTTTTTAGAGGAAATAATCTGCCTTTTTAATATTTGCCAGCATATTTCATTTTTCTAGGAGAGGGATGGGTGCTAACTTCCTACACCATGACACCACTAACTCTTGAACAGCTACTTGCCTTGTACTGACCTAAATACTGAGCCTAATTCATATATTTAGTGAACTGAGGAATAAATTTTAGAAAAAGAATTCAGTATTGCTCTGTGAATGTACCTATGAAATTCATTCTTCTTGATCTAACTTCTTAAAAGAAAAACTATATCTTTCTTGTTTGTTGGACCCCAAACACATCCTGATAAGACTGTACATTGTTGGGTGAAAACAGAGGTCCCTTCTGTTATCTTTAGTCCTCAGCTTTCAGCCACAATCGAGTCTAATCAAAACACAATATTGTTTTATGTCTTTTGTAGTAGTAGCTGTTAGGCAAGGATGAAAAGGCAACATAGTGTGACAGCTTTCTTCGCCAAGAAACCAAGAATGGAACAATCAGAATCAGGTACAACAGATCCAGTTCCACATCCGTCATGGTCAAAAGCACCACAAGCACCACTGCCACCACTTGACTTGGAGAAAGCAGCAGGTCAGTCTCCAAAACTGAAAGTCTTCCTGTCTGCTGGATATTGCAGCAATATAGACGCTTGCAAGAGAAGTATGAGTGACTGGAAGTTTCAAACAAAAAATTTGATTGTAAGTAATGCCCAAAACATGACTTTGTAGTAGAGAAAGGTGTTCATGTGTCCAAGGGAGTGGAAACATTTCAATATTGAGGTGGCAGGGACAGCTAAAGAAGTTCAGCAAGCTTCTCTTAGGAAAAAATGAAAGAACATTTTACATCTAAAGCTCATGCTATTTGCAGTGATAACTTAAAACAAGGGGAACAGGATGCTATAACAAAAGCACTAGATAAGATGTCTGAAAAATATTTATCTACTACTTGTAGAGTATTTTTGAGTTTACAGTCTGACACAAAGATGTAAACCATATTCAGACATAGAAGGACAGGCAGAATTGCAAACTGTAATTGGAGTAGATCTGGGAGTAGGATTGCATTCACAGTCAACTGCAGTGAAAATAGTTGATTTCATTGCAAAAGAAATTAAAACCAAAATGTTTACTAGCATTATTGAACAGAATCTGAAAATATGTTTATTGAAGAAGCCTCAATGCTATCATGCAAACCAGTTGTGATAGTTTTCGGAAAAGTTGAGGATTCAGATAACCCACCAGCAATTTTTGTTGAGCTTGTTGAATTGGAAAAACAAGATGCAGAGACAATATGTTTTGGAAAGTTTACATAATGTTGGGTTTACTACAGAATATCTATAAAAAAAATTAATAGCATTTTGCTCTGATAGTGCCAGCATTATGCTTGGGAAAAAATCTGAAGTGAGCACTAGTATTGCAAACATCATAATATGGTGCTGCTTAAACCATTGCCTCCAACTTGTTTTAGATGATTCCATAAAGAAAGCAACTGAATCATTTCAAAATATTTCTTGACAAGATGCATAGTATTCTCCATAAATTCTGTAAGAGCCAAAATGAACTATTTGAAATATCTGAACTTGGAATTGAAATTGTAAAGATTGGTAGAGCTTTGGGACCAAGATGGACTGCCTGTAGTTTAAGGTCAACCTTAGCTGTGTGGCATGCTTATCCAGTACTACATCAGTACTTTCATGCAAATGAAAAATACTCCAATATGGCTGCCCATCTTGAATATATATATATATTAAATAATTTGGCATTGATGATTGATATTCTAAATGAAATTTCTGTCAAATGCACTGCAAGGGAGAAATACAGACATTGTAAAGGCCAAAAAAACTTGTGCTGAGATCAATTAAAGCATTTTAAATGTTTAGACAGGGAAAGGGTCCTTATAGAAAAAAAAGATTGATGGATTAATTACTTCAGAAACCTTTAAAAATATAAAATTTGTACCAAATCATTGATTTGTTGGACTTCGTCAGGAAACTTTTGGAAAGCATCATAACAAATTTGAAGAAAAGACTAATGGGTTGTGAACATTTAAAAACAGCCAGTTGCAAGACACCATGAATAAATTATGATTTCTCCACTTTTTGGAGCCAGATTACTGGAATATTGAAGAAGTAGTAGTTCCATGGCCAGAAGTTGAAGAACAATTGCTTGCCTTTAGTGACATTTTTAATTATGAAATTAATATCAATGATTAGAGAGATTTCATAGAAAATGTTTTAAAAGATTCCAAGAACTATGCAATTCCTAACAGTATTAAAAAAGCTAAAGATATTGTCAGAACAATTGCTGTAAGTTCAGCAGAAGCAGAAAGAGTTTTTTCAAAAATGAACCTCATATGTTCAGAAAACAGAAGTTGCCTAACTGTTTCCAACATAACCAACCTGATGACCATTAGTGTGGTTGGCCTAACTCTAAAAGAATAGGACCCTATTCCTACCGTCAAAAAATGGTTAAGAGCACACCATCACACAGCCGATGATCCAAGACTCAAGATTAAGAAAACTGCAAGCGAGGAGGGCGCCAATGAAAGAACATTGTGGAAATATCTCAAAGTTAAAGACAAATAACACTTTTATGTAAGTATTTGTGTACCTCTTTTATTGTTTTGTGTACTTAATTTATTCTTATTTAAGTAGTAAGTGCATGAAATTAAAAACTACCTTTTGTATATCTTCTTTTTGTAGATCATTGATTAGAGCAAAGAAGTCAGTGACTTCGACTTGGCCATCCCATCCAGTCTCATGACTGCCAAGCTACGTCCACCCAGTCACATGACCCCTAAGCCATGCCCACTAAACAAGTCACGCCCACAGAACAGGTAGTAAAAATTTTTTTGAATTCCACCATTGATACATAACCTCAGGTACTATTACTTCTAGTTCACCATGTTTGCTCCCCAAGCTTTGTGCATTTGTATATAAGCATTTAATACTTTTATGCCTGTCCATAGGTATGTTTCCTGCATCTCCTAATTGCTGTTTGAGTTGGGTCAGTCTTTTTCTGAATACATTTCCCCCTGCTTTTGTGAGGAGCTGCCCATCCCTTGTCAAGAGCATGTAAGTAATGCAATCATGGTCCAGGAAATGAAAGTTTCCTTGGCAACACCAACCCTTTAGCCAATGATTTATTTCTAGAATTCTTTTTCTTCTCCAATGACCTTTCATTGGGAATACTGATGAGAACACTACTTGTGCTCCTACCTCCTTTACTGCCTAGTTGTTTATAATCTCTCAGTATTATACTTAGTTTCTTTGTTGTGTCATTCATCCCAATGTGAAGGAGGAGGAAAGGGTAATAATTTGTGGACCTAATTATTTGGTTAGGTTCTCAGCCATATCTTTGCTTTTTGTTCCAGAGGCAACATACCTCCCTAGATTGTATGTCTGGTCTGCAGATGGCTGGTTCTGTTCCTTTGAGAATAGAATCTCCTATCACCAACAATCACCTTCCTTTTTGTGGGGTTGCAGTCTGGGGTGCTTTTCTGTTTATCTCAGGTCTGCTTGTTGATGTGACTTTTCAGGGATATTTGATGCTGTCTCTTTTCTAGGTGTCTGCATGTTTTCATGGAGAGGGAGGTTGTGGGTCTGTGTATTTTCATCTAGGGTGAAAATTGATTGCTCAGTTTTGATCACTCCTTATCCCCTCCCACTTGTGACTGTATGACTGTAATTTTGTTACTTATATCTTTACGTGACTGTTTCCTAGTATAATTTGATTGCTTACTGTATCCTATGACTATTATTAAGTGTTGTACCTGATGATTCTTGACTCTTGATGAATGTATCTTTTCTTTTATGTACACTGAGAGCATTTGCACCAAGACAATTTCCTTGTGTGTCCAATCACACTTGGCCAATAAAGAATTCTGTTCTTTTCTATTGAAGGGGCTGCTTCTGGTTGGGTTAGATTGGGCAGTAGGGGTTTGTTAAATATATACTTCTTCTTTCTTGGATTATTGTGTTTCCTTCTATGTGTGACATGCCTCCATTTGTCTTCCTCCAAGGGTTTATCAGCAGGGTCAAATCCTCTGGGACTTATTTGTTCATTATTTGGTTCTGGGTAGAGGTTTGGTTCTACTGTAGGTTGGAGTTTGGCTAGAGTTGCCTCTAGGTCCCTTACTTTTTCCTCTAGTAGTTCATGTAGTTTACATTTAATACATGTATAATTTGGATGTTTTGGGGGCATAAGCACATACATGGAACATATCACAATCAGTCACCTGTTCTGTGAGTTTGTTTCTTTTTGCTGGTTCTTTTAAGAGTAAAAAAAAATGTTTCTTTTTTTCTATCCTTTTTT